GGCCTGTGGTCTGGTTCCCAGTCACCAGGGTGTCAGGGAACGGTCAGAATATGCCAGGATCAGGCTACAGAGCCCCATGTGTGATAAATCTTCTCTACTTCCAGTTGTCATCAGTGGATTGGGTACACTGCTGTGCCAGTCTACAACCCAGGCCATTCCTCTTCTGAAGTCAGGAGACTTTAACTTTTAGCTATGGGAGTCCTGCTGACACAAAATAGCTGTAACACAGATGGTTCAGTGTTAGAAACAGCAGCCTTGGGCACGCAGATTCAGTTCCTTGCTTGGGCATGCTCTTCCCATATGGCACTGAAGTCTATCAGTGCTTTGCTTTTCTGTATGTAACAGGCACCTTACCTGCCCAAAAAGCAGATCTCTGTGTTGAGTTTTTTACAGTGCATTTGAGAGAGCTCCGTGGAGGTACAGGTCAGAAATGTCTCTGCTTAGCACCCATAAACAGAGATCTGCAGCTTTTCCCAAAACTCCTCCAGAAGAGTCATGGAGAGTGTTGGTGGCATCTTTCACACTGGCGTGTGGGACATGGGCATTGCTCAGCTGAAAGGGAGAACCTCAAAGGGACTTCAACAGTAAGACCAGTCATGAAGGTTTTGCTGAAATGATTCTGGAGCACAGTGAAGCTTCCTTACCCCCAGCTGTTCCCACAGGGGATTTGTGTGATTAGATAAGGTCTGTGCCACATCAGTACGAGTTCAGGGTGGGCCACCCGCTGTCCATGGCAGTGGGAGGCAGCCCAGGCCCTGGCTCCAAGCCTTGGACATGGTCCTGCCTGGGGAGGAGCAGCACAGGATCCTCTGAGTGCTGTGAATCCCTGCCCATGTCAGGGGGGGTGGAACAAGAGGATCTTTGAGCTCCCTTCTGACTCTTCACTCCATGTTCCCTGCATGGGAAGGCTTTAGGTTTTGCACTGTTTTCTTCCTATTTGAGTGGGTGGAAAACCAATACCAGTCTTAAAAGCAGCTCTGATTTTTCAGCAGTGTGTGGACTTCTTGCAGCAGTCAAGCCCCATCTTTCCAAGGAGGATTTGCAGGGCTGGGGTGCTCACCGCCCTCACTACAGAAATGGCAGCCACAGAGCTGTAACTCCCAGCTCATCAGTAAACATGTCTGTACTGAGAAAATTCATCCTGTTAAGGGGCTTCCTTTAGCAGAGTAAAGTCAGATTATCTTATTTGTCTTTTATTTGAAGCCCTTTCATCTCTCCATTTCTCTCAGCCTGGGTATCCTGTTCCTGGAGTGTGCCAAATATGTTGTCTTTATTGAAGCCTCTTCAGTCTTTGTGGAGAGCAAGATCTGCTCACAGTGATACATGTCAGGATGTTTTTGGTTTGATCCAAGGCCCATGCTGGTTTTGTTGGGTTTTTTTTGGTTTTGGTTTTTGTCTTTTTTTTGTGTGTGTGGGTTGGGTTTTTGGGTTATTTTTGCATAGGGAAGGAAATCTTTATTGAAATCTTGCAAGGTTTTATTTAATTTCTTCCACAATCATGAGCAGTGGTAACTGTTGTAGCTTTGCTCACAGTGTTGGTTCCTCTCACTGGTCCCTGGTTTTGTACTCACCCTGAGGGTGATCTCTTGAGTTTGACTCAGCAGTGTCTGGTGGTCCAGCTGCCATTTCCTGGGAGGCTGACTTATCTCCTCTCCCCACCAACCTGAAGACGTTCAAAAGGAAGTCATAAAATCAATATTTTCATTGTAGAAACATGGTCTATCCAAGTTTTTCCACGTGTTTTTGTCTTTTAAAATATGTACTCCTGTGAGACTTGGCTCGGGGGCTGAGGAAGTGTGTTACTTGTGATCACATCTTCGAGACACCTCAGTGTGTTAACACAAGAATGTGTTTGTGAGGAGCCTGTCATGAAGTCTGGAGTTCATCAGTCCACTTCTTACATGATAGAAGGATTAAATTAATTCCAGAGAATGAGAGATGTTGGAAATGACAGAAAATCCTTCTGGTAGAAAGAAGAGTAATGGTTTACAGCCATCAGGTATTTCAGATCACACAAGGGGATCAGTCCTGCAGATGGAAGTACCAGCATTCATCATACAGTGTTATTTAGAAATATTCCCTGGTATGAATGTAAGGGCTCTCCTGACCTGATGAGGGGAGATGCTTCCAGAGGTGCTGTATCTTCATCAGCCCATGTCTGGAGCTGCCAAAAACATGACTTTGCACAGACAGGGTGAAATAAAACTCCAGTCTTGCTCAGGAGGATGGTAACGGGGAGGTGGATGGAACTAAAATCATTGTTTAAGATAAATTCTGACTCACCTTTTCAAACGTGGGAGCTGATCACTCCTGAGAGTTTACTCCAGGTTCCCCATAAGCATTCATTTGGCATTTTGGTTTAGGACTCCTTGCCTGCATGTCTGGCTCCAAGAGGACTGGTGCTCAGTCCTGGGAGCTGATCTTTGGCATCTGCCCAGGAAAGGGGTCAGTCAGCTGGCTCACCAGAGAGTGCCTTGAGAGCGAAAACTGGGGTTTAGACCAGCAAAAGTTCTGGTGTCCACAGGTCAGGCAGAAATCTGAGGGGCCAAGTCTGGTGTGCAAACTAAAAGAGGAGTTGGACTGTGCACTGACAGTCCTCTGATTTCATCAGGTAGGCTGAAAGTGCTTTTTTTTCTGCACCATAGAAATTAAAAATGGCAAAAAAGGTGTTAAATGAGCAAGCAGGCTGAGTTTGGAGAAGGTTCTTCCCCAGAGGGTCGTGGGGCCCTGAACACGCTTCCAGGGAATAGTCCTGGTTCCAAGGCTGCCAGAGCTTGAGGAACATCTGGAAAATGCTGTCAGGGGCAGGGTGGGATTGTTGGGGTGTCCTGTGTGTGGTTAGGAGTTGGAATTGATGATCCTCAGTTGGATGGATCCCTCCCAACTCAGGATATTCTGTAATTAACATGATCTGCTCATCACGTGCCTGATTTTCTGCTTGGGTTGGGATGGCACTGGATGTGCCTGTGTAACCCATGGTCACAGGGGCTTCCAGAATGGAGCTGAAACGTTCCAGCAGGGAGGCTGGAACAGCAGCACTGCCATCACCCCTGACAGGCAGGAGTTTACAGTGCCCTCACATTTCCTGAGGGAATTTGTAAGGACAGCTCTTCAGTGCTGGAAACATTGATGGTGTTTGATGGAAACATCACTGTGAAGAAAACCTCAGCTGAAGCAAAGGTTACATGGAAGGGATTTTTAGTGGCTGCAGTGGTCATGGAGCTCCAGCCCTGTGCTTTTGTGGGGAACAAATCAATGACTGCAGGCACTTTGCATCATGAGAAACTGTCAGGATTCTCTTGTGGCAGCCCCATGGGATTTCCAAGAAGCGTCATTCTCACAGTCCTCTGTCAATATGCAAAGTTTCCTTTTTTTTTCCCCCCCAATCCTGATCTGTGGGTATGTATCCAACCTAATAAAACCATTTTCCAGCTTCGCTGTTGGTGGTTTTCTTCCCCTTGTCTCTGAAAGCCTCTGGCCTGCTGGCAGTGGCATTGTCCAGCGAGGTTTGAAGCTTGGCACGCTGTCAGCAAACCTTCAGGTTCCCTTTCAATCAAACATGGTAGTGCTGAGATCCGACTTGGATTCCATCCCAAGGTTCACCATAATCATCCTTGTATAATAGGAAGTCCAAACAACCCCAGGAAATAATTCAGATGTGACTGGTGCCTTGAGTGGAACAAAGAAGTGCCTAGAAGAGACATTAAGAGCCTCAGCTCTAACTCTTTTCATAATTATGCGCTCCGAAGGAGCGGAGGCTTTGGAGATAAAGGGATTACATGCATCTCATGAGGTCTGGAAAGATGGGACGGCATCTTCCGTCCACATTTTCTCTTTTTTGTTTTACTGATGTTGCAGTTGCCACATTCTGTGGAAGAATATTGCAGAATAGGCTCCCCTGTAACCCTGCAGTTGCCTTCCAAGCTGGCACAGGTAAATTGAATCTGACTACCCTTAGGGATGAGGTTTTGGAAGAGCCTGTTGGCAAGAGCAGTGGGGGGAGAACTTAATTAGATTAAGATGCATTTCCACAGTGTTGCTGCGGGCTGTGCAGTGCTGGAGAGAGCAGTGCTCGGAGCTGGGGATGCCCTGGGATGCTCCTCCAGCCCTGCCTGCCTCTGCTGCCTGAGAAAAAGGAAGATGCATCAGAGGTGTGAATCTCGGTGGAACCCAGCACAGGGCTCACCAGGCTGGGAACAAACCATGTCCTCAGCTGGTGTCCTGCCCCTGGCTGTGAGCAGGGGTCAGCAGCCTGCCAGGAGGGCAAGGGCTCAGCTTTTCCTTGCCACAGCACAGCAGCTGGGGCACTGATGTGGTGGCAGGGTTTGGCTGGGCACCCAGCCTTCCTTCAGCTCTTGCCTGAGGCCTGGGTACTGATGGCCCTTGGGTCTCATGCTTTGATGCCCTTACAAGTGCTGGTTTGCTTTTCCATGTCTGTGTCATTTCTAAGGTTACTCGTTTACTTCTCTTGATAACTTCCTCCATAAGAAGTTGCATGTCTATTAATTTCCAATGAACTGTTCCTTCTCCCTGGTATGTACTTGGGAGTTTTTTCCTTTTGTAGGTTTGCTCTGCTGCACTGGGAAAGGATAATTTGGAATCCCCAGTCCTCTCTCTTCATGCTACTCATTATTTTATATGCCTCTCCTGTGGTCTCTCCTTTTCATTACTAATCAGGTCTAGTCTTTTCAATCCTCCTTTGTGTGATAGTTTCATTTTACAAAAGCTGAACTAGTTTCTATCAGCTCGGTTGATGTGATCTTACTCATATCAAAGGTGTTTAACAGCCGCAGTCCCGTGTACTCACTGCAAGCTGAACTTAAATTGTGTCAAGTTCTGTGCTGCTTTGTGAGTGCAAGTGGGAATGTTTGTTACAGCTGTCTTTAAATTTAAATTTGGATGTTTTAAATGAATTAAATATGAACATGAATAATGCAGCTGGTAACTTAGCCTTTCTGCAATTAAATGCAAACTTTTTCATTTTGTCTCTGTGCTTTCAGGTTTTGCTATGCCGCAGTGTTTGTACTGACTCTGCTGTCTTGTAGGAGTGATGGGGAACTAGAGCCCATGACAGTTCAGTGGAGCCCTTGGCACTTTTGATATCTCGGTGAGTGAAAGTTGTTTGAAACTCTGGGAGAGGCACTTCATCTGATACTAAAGGCAGCAAATTAGTTGGTCTTTTTACATTTTGAAGGTAGCATCCTGCTGAAATGAATTTGCACATTGATGTGTCCTTTCAGGTTATAAATTCTGGAAACCAGCACTCTGTAATGCTGCAGTTCATGCTTGGGAGATTATCTTGGTTTCCACAAGCTGGAGAAACAAAGCTTTTGAAAACAAGGAGAGTTTTAATTCTGGTGTGCAGCTCTGTGCAAGTGTCAGGCTCTGGAGATGGAGCATTGCAGGGTGTGCTGGGCTGTGGAAATCTCAAAGGCTTTATTTAATGCAACAGTAAGATTGTGTCCTTTGTGCCATGGATCCAGCCAACAGGTCCTCATCAGGGGCATGTTTGTGCCTGAGGTGATTCTGGAAGATCTGTCTCTGTGGGTAGCCTGGTTTTGCCCCTTGGATACCAGTCTGTACCTTCTGCTATTTATTACTTTCACATTTTTTCAGCCTTCAGTCCCTGAATGGAGTAAAGGTCGCTTCCATTGGTACCATGGTGCTTCTGTCCACAGGTGCCTGTGGGCTTGTCTGTTCGGCCTTTGACTTTCTTCTCTCTACACTGAATTCTCCTCACTGGGGCATTTCAGCCTTGTCAAAACCTGTGGAGTGATTCCTCTTGCCATCCAGTCTGTTGTCAGTGAGATGAAGTCCCTTGGGTTTTTCAGGCTGGAAGGAGCTTTCGGAGGTTGTCTGCTCCAATGCAGAGGTGGGCTGACTTTGAAGTCAGAGTCGGCTACAAGGTTAGATCAGGCTGGCAGGGGAGGGAGCTGGTGATGTTTGGAGTATCTCCAAGGGTGGAGATTTTACAGCTGCTCTGGGCAGCTATAAATTACAGCCAGTGGAAATCATCAATTCCCAAGCCCTGTGTTAGTAAAGCCCAGGGGCAGCAGAGGGGCAGCTCCTGTCTGTGCTCCCTGTGACCAGGGACAGGTTCCAAGGGAGTAGCTGGAGCTGTGTCAGGTGAAGATCAGGCTGGGTATAAGTCAAAGGTTCTTTCCCCAGGAAATGGTCATGACCCTAAGCCTGCCAGAACTCCAGGAGCATTTGGACAACACTCTCAGACACCCCCAGGGTGGGGCTGTTGGGGTGTCTGTGACAGGCCAGGAGTTGGATTTGGTGATCCTTGTGGATCCCTCCCAATTGCCATTGTGCAGTGTCTGTCTCCATGGCTGAAGAAGGGCATCCCTGCATCCTAGGGCAGGAGCTGTCCCTGTCCCTGGGATGCAGTGAGGCTGGTGGCTCCCACCTGGCTGTGTAGGTCCAGCTGTCCCTGGGGCAGGCAGGCTGAAGCTGTGCATCATGGAGTTTGGCTCTGCCTCTTCTCTAGGCACTACGTGACTCTGAGCACACTAATTATTTTGCTTTTTTTTTCCTTGAGTTATGATTTTGCAGGATTAACCCACATGTTGCTGTCCTGTGATATGAAGTACAGGGGATCTGGGTGGTGCAGAGCTGTGTCAGAGGCTCGTGAAGGCTGGCAGGAGTCAGGCTGGGCTGTCACATTTGGGCAGCTTCTTGGAAGCATATTCTAGAGTGCAGTGTCCTTGAGCTGGCACTCGTGGCTCTCAGCAAAGTGGGACTCCCCATGCAACTTCAGTCTCCTCCTTTGGGGAAGACTCACCATTTATCTATTTATTTATTTAAATTGGACATTTACAACATCTGATTCTCTTCCATGACACAAGATCTTGCTGAGAGCCTGCTGCAGTGTTGGCTGAGGGATACCAGCAGTCAGCTCTGTGCTTTATCAGTATCACAGAATTATAGAATCATTAAGGTTGGAAAATACCTCCAAGATCATTAAGACCAAGCACCACCATGTCCACTACACCAGAGCACTAATCCCACATCCAGACATTTCTTCAGTACACCACCACCTCCCTGGGCAGCCCATTCCCATGCTTGACAATCCTTTCTGTGAAGAAATTCCTCCTGATGTCCAACCTGAACCTCCCCTGGCACATCTTGAGGCTGTTTCCTCTTGAACTGTTCTTGTTCCCTCAAAGAAGAGACTGACCCTCACCTGTCTGCCCCTCCTGGCAGGGAGTTGGGGAGGGTGAGAAGGTCCCCCTGAGCCTCATTGGGGCTATTGGGCCATAACCTTTCACAAAGCCTGTCTGAGCAGCTCAAACACAGTCACAATGTTTTTTCTTCCAATACTTTGGAAGGGAAGGGGTCACACATCCCTGCCAGCAGGACTTGGAGCTGCTCAGGCTGAAGCAGCTTTTCAGAATCCCTCAGAGGGGCACAGGAACTCCTGTGCCAAACCCATGAGATTTATGTGTGTGGGTACTTGAGAAAGTCCCACAGACAGCAGAGGGGCAGAGCCAGAGATGGCAAATGCTTGTCTGATGCCTTTATATATAAACACCTTTCAGCCTGGGTTTTTATGTCTAGGCAACTTTTCCTGCCAGGACTGCTAGTCTTTAATAAAAATGACTGAAGAAAATTATGAAAAGAAGCTTTAAAAGTTGTAAATAACCTTTCACATGTAGGTTACCTTCTGCTATTGAAAGGGAGACCAACTTTACTCCTTTCACAAGTGTGTACAGACACACACACTATTTAGGAGAGAGGCAGTAAATGACTACTGTGCACCTTTTGATTTGGATTAAAAAACAACCAGGATTTTTTTCCTTTACTATTTAATATTCCCTCAGTATTTTTTCTTCTCAGAGTATTGCTCAGTGTTGCATGTAAAGAGGCTGTAGTTTGTAGAGCTGTTACATAAAATTAAACTCTGTTTCTCTTACAGTTAGAAAAAGCCTGGTTTTCAAAACCCCAAATTCTTGCCAAGTTGGATCTGTAAATAACCTTTTAAGCAGCCACTCAGTGCTGCGTCCTGAGACAGCTTCCTGCTTCTCCTGACTGCCCCACTGTGAACAAAATGGAATTATATTGATACAATTAATCTTTCATTAGTTAGTGGAGTGTCAAAGCATGCTATTCGTGGCTTTCCCAAGGGCTTGTTTGTGGCTCAGCCATTCATTTGGATGTTTTTTGGCAAGGCTTTATGGGTGTGGCAGGCCCTGCCCTGTGAGAGTGGTTGTGCTGGAGCACTGGGTCCCTGCACATGACCACCACACATCTCCCAGGAGCTCTGATTTTTCAGGAATATTTCTTTTTAACAAGAATTCAAATGTCTTTGCTTGTTGGGCACAGTCCAGCCAGTTTTTCTCCAACCAGGAAAAAAAAAATGCAGCACAACTTGGACACTCAAGGCAGTACTAACAGCAAAAGTATTTCCTGGGTCATTGTCCAATTTCTCATCCTTATTCCCCAGAACTGCTGCGAGCAATTTGAATTGTAAGTGGCAAGCTGGGGATTGCTGTGCTGCTTTGCCAGAGTTAATGTTATGTTTCCATGTGTTTTCTTTCATAAATTCCAGCTCTGCCTCCCTTTGTTAGTGAGTGGGAGCAGCCCCTCCTTCCACACACACGCTCTGGACCCGCTGTAGGGTTAGCACAGATACAGGCATGTGCTCCTTGTGCTTATTCATGCTCCTCCTGCTGCTATGAATTTGGTGTTGTCCACAAATTGGAGAAAGTCTTGTAGTTTCAGGGGGTGAAATGAGTTGTGTGTGCTCTGTGCTACCCCAGGTGACAGAACATGATTTTCCCCCTACTGTGTGATGAGTTAATGCTGCAGATGACTGTGCTCCAGAATGGGGAATTTTCTCATCTTTATTTCTTTTGTCCTAGACATCTTCAGCTCTGTAAGAGCAGCCCAGTCCCAGGATCAGGACAGCAGCAGGTGGTAGAATGCGGAAACCAGGCCCTCAGAAAGGTGAGCAGTGATGCTTGGCACAGCAAGGGCCCTGCAGGGAGCTGGCATGGCCTGGAGTGCCTCAGGGGGCTCACAGTGGGGTGGGAGCTGAGGGGATGTGCTTGGAAGCCCAAAACAGAGTTGTGTGTTTCTCAATCAGTGTGCAGAGAGCAGTTCATCAATCCACCCCTGTGACAGGAAGAGCACAGTCCTTTTTTGGGGCATCCCTGCAGCTCGTGGGGCGCAGTGTCAGCAGCGAGGGTGCCCTGCAGAGCCCAGGGCACCATCTGGCAGAGCTCCCAGCATGAGGCAAACTGCCTGTGCTGGCACAGGCCTCCCCCTCTAATGAGGCATGAAACCAGAAACCAGCCTACCTTGTGGAGAGGAAATCTGTCAGGAGGTTACCCTGCCACCCAGTCCCTTGGCCCCTCACACAGCACGGGCTTCCTGGGTCCTGCATCCCCAACAAAAAGGGTGAAGCCAAGCAAGCTGCCTGTAGCTGAGCTGCTCTGGCTTCTTGTGCTTAACAAAAATATTGATTTCCTTTAGTGCTGTGCCATGCCTGTGCGTCTGACTGGAGTGATCTCATCAGGGAGGAGGGGGGAAGGGAGAAGGGAGAGGATGGAGCATCCTCCACAGCTCTTTGTTCACATCTGCTCCACACTCCCAAGGTTTATTGCAGGAGATTTCTATGCTCGATTTCTCTCCTCCCTTTATTTTTTTTAAATGTCTCCTTTGCTTCTGTCGTGGTTCATCTTACAGCGGCATTATCCCCTTCCTAACGCTGCTTGTCCTTTAATGAAGTGAAAATAAATGAAGGAAAGCAGGGAATGGGGAGACCCTGCTGTGAGGCAGCTGGAGGGCTTGGCAATAAAGGAGGCTGGTTGATTAGTCAGCAGCGTGGCTGTGGCCCGGGCTGCCTGGATTCAGCCTCACTCACAGCTTGTCCTCTGTGCTCCTGGAGCCTCCAGGCAGCCTGCCTCTGTGACCTGGGCTCAGAATGCCAGGCTGGAGGTTGCAGAGGCAGCACCTGCACAGTGCACATGTGGGTTTCTGTCCTACTTACCTGCTTTTTTAATAATGCATTGAACTTGCACTGTTTCTTTATTTGTCTGCAGAAATTCTTGTTTCGCTCTCTTTCTGCTGCTTTTGTATCCTGCTTAATGAGGATTTTTGCATGTTAAAGGTTAAGAACAAAATGTACCTTCACCTGCAGAGTATGGTGAGAAGCTCCTTTGAGTGCATGGATGCTGTTAGAGCTGTCCTGCAGCACTGAGGGGAGCCTTACCCACCCAGGGGGCTCTTTTGCTTCTGACTTTAATACTTTATGTCCTTTATTCTTGCTTTCTTAGGCACATGGCACAATACTGTGCCTCGTGGTAATGCATTTATTAGGAAGGGTGTCCTTCAATCCTTTCATTCATTTATGTCTCTCCAAGGAGGCTCTTTGTCTGGCCCATGTCTAGTGACGCTGTGGCCACACTCCATATGTCCCTTGTGTTCATTTAAGGGATGCTGATCTGGCATCCCTCTGTTGGGCTGGAGGCTGTTGGAGGCAGGGTGGGCATCCCCCACTTCTTGCTCTATCACTTTCCAGAGCAATAAAACCTACTGTCCTGTCCACTGTGCTGAAAAGAACATGTCAAGAAGAGAAGATTGTAGAAATAATTGTCCCAGAGCAATTCCAGACACGTCAAGACACCCCAGGCCACTTTAGAAGCAGCTCTTAGCCTGCCTCTTCCAGCTACTGGTCAGATTTCAAACCTTTTCCTTTCACAAGGAGCTGTTTTTCATGGGGGCAAGGCGCATTTCATAGAGCACTACCAAGCTGCTGTCTACAGTAGCCCTACAAATTATCTGTAAAATAAAGGAGCTGGAGGGCAGCAGCACTCCCAGGATGCCAGCCTGGCAGCAGCAGGTTGAGGAGCTGGCTCAGGATGCACTCTGCCATGGCACAGGGCAGGAGGCCAGGATGAGCATTCCCCACTTTTTGCTCTATCACTTTCCAGAGCAGTCTTGAGAACTTCATTTTTTTTGGAGCTCTGAGACCCAAAGCAGCTGAGCTGCTCTGCAGAGCTGGTGCTGCTTTGTTGTGCTGTCCTCTGGAGCTGCAAGGGACACAGGGAAGCCTGGTGTTGTGTGTGGAGTGGGCACTTGTGCAGATTTTCAGAGAAGTCCTCTCTGTCACCACAAAGGGTTGAGGTTGCTTGTGTGGAATAACCTGGAGCAGACACACAAGGAGCCATTCTGCAGATCCACATGAGCCATTTTTAGTGGTTATTTTGTTTGTTCCTCTCAAGCCCTTCTTCTCATAGCTAAAATGATGGAGTTTGCTGGTTTTTGTTATTGCTTGTCCCTGAAGGAGAACCATGGCTGGTGGGAACAAAACAGGGACTGAGGTGCAGATGTGGGTACCTCCTGTCAGGTACCTGCATGAGCTGGGGAGAAGAAGGGAGCACACCCCAGAGACAGAGGCAAGGCATCCATGTCTCTGGGGTCATGATAGGGAGGTCACTGCTCTCTCTGAAGTGCCTGGAGCACAGATAGTGTAGGAGGGTGCATTGTCTGGCTCCTTTCCCTGACACAAATGCTCTGTTTCTTGTCTCAGCCATAGACTGGAAAGATGGTAAAAAGCACAAGTACAGCCGCCCGTCAGAGTCTCCCTCCCAGTACCAAGGTAAGAGAGCTCCCTTCTTCCTCTTCCCTTTTGTTTTTTTTGCCCTCCCTTCTCCTTTTTGCAATTTCTGAAGAGTTTTTGACAAGTGCATGGTGCAGCAGTGAATATTGGTGATGACCTGCAAGAAACTCTGAGCAGCTCATCACTGCCCAAAGCTTCGGCACGTCCTTGTAGGGTTTGGGCCTGGAGAAGAGAAGGGTCTGAGGAGACCACAGAGCTCCTTCCAGTGCCTCAAGGGGCTCCAGGAGAGCTGAAGACGGACTTTGGACAGGGGTCTGAAGTGACAGGACAACAAGAATGGCATCATGCTGTCAGAGAGCAGGGTTGGATGGGATATTGAGAAGAAATTCTTCCTTGTTAGGCTGGGGAGGCCCTGGCATAGGGTGCCCAGAGAAGCTGTGGCTGTCCCATCCCTAGAAGTGTCCAAGGCCAGGCTGGACAGGGTTTGGAGCAACCTGGGACAGTGGAAGGTGTCCCTGCCATGGCAGGTGGAAAGGAATGGGCTTTAAGGTCCCTTCCAACCCAAACCATTCTGTGATTCTGCACAGTGAGCAGGTAAAACTGCAGCATCTGCCACAGAGCACCCTGTAATCCAGGCTGGAAGGATTTGGGGTCAAAGCTGCATTGGGACACCTCTGAGGAGAGCAGACAGAGCAGGCAGCTCTGGTGTTTCAGAGCTGTTAGTTTTGACTCACACATTGTCACATTTTACTGAGCAGGACAGAGCAGTGGGGCTCATGTTACCAATGGAGCACGTGCAGCTGGATTGAGCAAAGTGCCTGGGATGGGGCAGGAGCTGTGCTCTAGGAGAGCTGACCCCTCAGGAGACCGTGCTCAGACATCAGGGACAGCCACTGTCACCTGGGATCTGCCAGCCCAGACGGTGCTCTGCTCATTTTCATACCGAGCTGGCTCAAACTGTGCTGCTTTCATGTGCTGCCTTGGTGCTCCTTAGCAGCCACACATATGGGCTGCAGACTCTAATGGGATGCCTTGATCTGGGTAGGGCACGTTCTCCTTCACAGATGTGACCTGAAACACACATGTATTGTTTCAGTTGGATTGATGACCCCTCGGGAGCCAAAATGCTAATGGAGCCCAAACCAGACTTCAGTTAAAGATATAAACAGAAACTCCATCTTCATTTAAATTCTGGGCAAAGGATCAATGTTAAATGCAACATGAAGAAAATCAAAACATGAGGGTGCAGAGCTGCATTGTTCACAACTACTGCAGTTTGACCCCTTGGGTTTGTGGAGTGTTTTGTTTGGAGTAAATATTTTTGGAGGTTAAGACATCAGAGCCCAAATCTGACTCTCTGCCTGGAAGTAATCTCTTCCTTTGGCATGAGCACAGGACAAGGAGCTTTCCCAAGGCAAGCACAAGTGACAGACAGCCACCCCAGTGGCATTTCCACAGCCAAGGCACCGGGAGTCACACAGGTTCCCAATCCTTAGCTTTTGTTTGGCTCACAGATGGAGTTGCAAAAACAGGGTGTTTCTCATTTACGGGTCTCTCTCTCATTTCTTCCTGTGAAGAAGATCCAATGTGCTGGAGAGAGGCAGAGAGGGACTTGGGACAAGGGCCCGAAGTGCAGAATTTCCTCTCATGCTAAAGGTGTGGTGGCAGCTTCCAGCTGCAGTCTGCAGGTCTTACCTTGGTTTGAGGGTAATCTTGAAAAAGACACTCAGGATCTACCTGTGCTTGCCCTGCCACCTGTGTGTAAGGGGATGGCTGGTAGTGAGCACTGCTGTATCAGCTCTGTCTTTTCTTAGAAGTCTTTCTGCTGCTCCTGCTTTTCTTTGCAAAATAAATCACTAGAACTATTAGGAATAAGAATCACAGAACACCCTGGGCTGGAAGGGACCCCAGGGATCATTCAGTCCAACCCTGTCCCTGCCCAGACCCCCCAGCAACCCCACCCTGGGCATCCCTGCAGCTCTGGCAGCCTCGGGGCCGTGCCCATTCCCTGGGGAGCCTGGGCAGTGCCAGCAGCCTCTGGGGAAGAACCTTGCCCTGATCTCCAGCCTGAGCTGCCCTGGCCCAGCTTCGTGCTGTTCCCTCAGGTCTTAGAGAAGCTGCAGTTCTAGTGCTGTGTGTGTCTTCATACAGTGGTTGAATCCCAGCAGGCTTTAGAATTAATCTCAAATAAGTTCCATGTCCAAACACTATTTTTAGAGGCCTCAGCTGTGTCAGAAATTCTCTGTTCCCACTGGGTTGTGCAGCATGGATCTGGGCTGTGGAGTGAGCTGCTGCAGAGAGCAGGACAGCCTGGCTTGGTGTGGAGAGAGTGGAAAGTGGGAAGATTTAAACTATGACAACTTTTAATAGTGATGGATTGAAACCAGCTGAGGGGAGGTTGTTTTTGGGTTTTTTTTTAAATAAAATTGTCAAGCACAGCTGATCCTGTTCAGGCTGCTGGCTCAGGGCCTGGGGCTGAGACTGGCACTGCTCACCCAGTACTGTCACCTGGGTTCCCCTGTGATCTGGGGACAAGAAGGCCCATCCCAGTCTGAGATGAGCCCACATCAGCCACCAGAGTTAAGGGGTGGAATACATAAGGCATTTCCAGGCCAGGAGTGCCAAGTTTTGCTTTGCCTGGGTGTTTACTCCACATTATTCAACAAAGAGTTTCATTGACAGAATCAAGTATAAAATCATATCTTCAGTTAAAGCAAAAGAATTTTGGTTTTGTGAGAGCATCATTGCAGTAACTCACTGAATTTCCTCATTCACCCAGTGTGAGACTGTGGCTGAAAGGAAAATATGTGCCAGTGGATGGAGCTGAGTACTCTGGGGCATGGAGAGTGCTGTCAGTCTGGAAACAGCAATATTCAGCCAGTGTGGCAATGAAACTGTATTTTTTCTGTTAATTTTCCCAATTTTTAACAGTGTACTAGTCATCTGCATGGGAGGTGGTGAGAAATCAGCATTCCTTGTATTTATTTGAAGCTTGTAGGTTATGAAGGCTCTTCTGTGCACGAGGCAGCACTGAAGCAATGTGTGCTGACCTTACTGCCTCAATTTTCAGAGGTGTGGTGTGTGCTGCAGTAGCTAAAATGGCTCTTAATGTAGCTTTTGTTTTGAAAATAGACTGATTAAGAACTTGCCTGACTCAGGGAAGCAGTGGCTGACTTGAATTGTGCTGCCACCACTGCTCTTGAAATGCCTTGAAAACAGCGGTCTCCCGGGAGCTGTTTGGATGAATACAAGCGAATGTCATGCTGGAAGGTTCCTCTCCCAGCTGCTCAGTTTAAATGGCAAAAGTCATGATTTGCACAGATCACAGGAGCTTTTAATTCCTCATTTAATAACAGGTTTGCCTGGGTGGCATGTTGCTTTTACCCTTCCTGCTGTACGTGAGGAAGGTGCAGGCAAGGATGAAATGCACTTCCCCTGGCAGCAGCACTCGGTGGAAGGGGGCTCGAGGTTGGGTGTGAGGTATGGAGCTCAGTAAATCCCTGTTTGGACAATCCCTGCTCCCATCCTGCCCATCCTGTGGACTTCATGGCACTTCAGGAAGTTAGTTGCTGACCTGTCCACTTACTGCTGGGGTTGGGTTATCCCTGGTCTATGGGGTGGGCTGTGTCTGTGCTGGACCGGGGGGACCATCCAGTCACCACAAAGCAGGTTCCTGTTCTAAATCCATGATTTAGAATCATGGGATCACAGAATGGCTTGGATTGGAAATGACCTTAAAGATAATCTCATTCCAGCCCCCAGGCTGTGCTGCTCGTAGCCCACGGTGACTGTTTGCAGTCCCCAGACTGAGTGATGTGTTTAATGAATGGTTTTTAAGGGACAGTTGTCTGGAGGACTCAGCAGATTCCCATCTGTGCTGGGTGTTTTCCATTAAGTTGTAGGTTGTTATCCTGAGTCTGTGCAGCCCCTTCTCAGCAGCACCGAGGCAGGAGGATGCCGAAGGCAGCGCTGTGCTTTGTTCTGCCTGTCAGTTGCAGTTGTAAATCTTCTGTGCTCACAAACATCAGAGGTTCTTGGTGAAAAAGTGTTGCCTGTGAGCACCTCCTCTGTGAGAAGTGCAGAACTGCCAGCTTAGGAGTCTGGCCAGTTCTTTTGCTGAGAATTTTGCTCATCCTTTCCTATTTGAATCCTTTTGTTTTTACCTCTCAGGTCACTTCACCTGGGAGAAGTACCTGAAAGAAACATGTGCCATCCCAGCTCCTGCCCATTGTTTCAAGCAGGTAAGAGGGTGAAAACAAGAAAGGTCAAGGGCTATGGTCCACTGGGGGCCCTGGAGTTCTGTGCCTGGGATAGGCCCCTGGCTTGGAAAGGAAGATTCTTAAGGATATTGGAGACTTAACAGAAATCCAAGTGCTGAAGCAAAGATTAAAAAGATGCATTTAGAGTAGCACAGAAGATTTTCCTCTCAGATGTGCATGTTGGGAACACGAGTGTGCTATTAACTCTGTCAAGCACAGGCCCTTGGAGAGAGTATCCTGAGTAGGCTGGGATGCAGTTTTTGGGGATCCTGCTCAATCAGGAGATTTTCAGCAGAATTCACCCAATTGTTGTGACAGAATAGCAGCCCCTGGGCAGCAGGAATTGAGCCCAGAGGTGGTTGTGCTGAGTACAGGGGGTGCAGGAGTGAATCAGTGTGGGACCCCTGGTGTGGGCAGAGGGGAGGGTGAGTGTCTGTGTGGGTCTGGGGTTGGCTGGGTGAGTCTTCCCAGGAGAGGGTTAATCCCCTACACCGGGCACTGGTGGGGCTGCACTCAGACCCTGGCATCAGTTTTGGGCCCCTCACAACAAGGGGGCTGGAGCATGTGCAGAGAAGGGAATGGAGCTGGGGAAGGGGCTGGAGCCCCAGGAGAGGCTGAGGGAGCTGGGAAGGGGCTCAGCCTGGAGAAAAGGAGGTTCAGGGGGGACCTTGTGGCTCTGCACAACTCCTGACAGGAGGATGGAGCCAGGTAGGGTCAGGCTCTGCTCCTACCAGAGCAGAACAAGGGACAGGATAAGAGGAAACAGTTTCAGCTTGTGTCAGGGGAGGGTCAGGTTGTATATCAGGAAAATTTCTTCGCTAAAAGGGTGATCAAGCCAAGGAAATGTCTGTCCAGGGCACTGGTGGGGTCCCCATCCCTGGAAGTGTTCAGAAAACATGTAGTTGTGGTGCTTAGGGGAACTGGGTTAGTGGTGGGCTTGGTAGTACTGTAGGAACAACTGAAGCTGATGATCTTAGAGGTGTTTTGCAGCATTAATGATTCTGTGATTCCAAGAGAACAGGCTTTAGTTGCCTAGATGATGCAGGATGAAAGAATGGGGGTCTGTTACAGACGTGCCAGGGCTTGCTGAGTTCTCTGTGGTGCCTCTGTGCTGTGCCTGGAGGGGCTGTCAGCCTTCAGCACACTCCATTTAGGTGCTCCTACTGCTGGAAGCTTTGTGCTTGAGACCCTCCTGGAGTGGTCTTGTGTCAGGAAAGAGAGACACACTGGATTTTTTCGGTCTTCAGGTTCTGTTTATTGTTTTCTTATCTAGAGTTTTGTACACTGTCCACACAAGGCTCAACGCACTGGAAAAGCACCACAAAAAACGGCCAACAGTCTTTTGTTACAAGGTCTTTTAAAGCTGAACTATCCAATTAACAACTGACACCTAGATTATTTTCCCTTTTAACCCAATAAGTAATCCCAAGAGCTGCAATGTGGACTTTTCTGCCCAATTACAAAATGCCACCCAAACCCATGAAGAAGGAGGAAGAAGAAGCATGAAGAAGAAACCCAGGACAACACCCTGTGCCCTCCATCTTGCTTCCATCCACAACATACTAAAAATTCCAAACCCTAAATTTCCCACCTAAGTGATCCACCTACACTACTCTTTATAATCTATTTCACACTTTTGTGGATTCTAGTCTATCTTGAAGTTTAGGGAACTTGCTCCATGAATGAGGGTCAAAGTCAGTGCTCCCCTGGGGGTCAGGGCACCCAGAGCAGACAGTGAAATATTCCCGGTGCCCTGGGTTTCCACACTGGTGCATGCATTTATTGGCAGTCCTGGCTCTGACCGGCCCCTTTTCCGCTCTTTTCAGTCCTACACTCCACCTGCAAACGAGTTCAAGATCAGCATGAAGCTGGAGGCCCAGGACCCGCGGAACACCACGTCCACGTGCATCGCCACCGTGGTGGGGCTGACGGGCGCGCGCCTGCGCCTGCGCCTCGACGGCAGCGACAACAAGAACGACTTCTGGAGGCTGGTGGACTCCGCTGAGATCCAGCCCATTGGCAACTGTGAGAAGAATGGAGGGATGCTGCAGCCTCCACTGGGTGAGCTGGAGTTCAGCTGTCCAGCGAGGGTCGAATTGATGGTCGGGAAAGCTTGGGGGGTTTTACAGATCTGTGCTTGGGACAGAGGCCCACAGCCCGCCCCTGCCCACTCTGGGATACACACAAGGTTTGTAAACCACACCAGGTCTGTGTTTCCATACAGACACACGGACAGGGAGGTCCTTTAGAGTGTAGATGGAAGAGGTCTCTGCACCAAGGTGACTTCTCTGTGGCTGCCTCATCCCTGGAAGTGTCCAAGGTCAGGTTGGACACAACTTGGAATAACCTGGGACAGTGGAAGGTGTTCCTGCCCATGGCAGAGAGGTAAAACTGGTTGATCTTTAGGGTCCTTCCAACCCAACCTACCATGTTATTCTAGGATTCAATACCAGGTTACTTGGGCAGGAAACTTAATGTCTGAAAAGGTTCACAGTGACTTAAGTTCTGTCTCATGTGAAGGGACACTTGCAATAGTTCATAATTATATTTATTTAATTTTGCTTGGCTACAACATTATAAATAGCCTGGACAGTCTAACACTTCTTCCAGTCTTCTGTTAAACACACAACACTTTCCTTTTTCTTTCATGCTAGCCCAGTGACAAGCTGATTTGCTGATTCTTTCCCGCAAAATTAACCTGCTTTTGCATTCTGCTGCCCAGCAGTTTTAGTGTCTTCATAAATCTCTCAATTAGCATATCCCCAAATAATATCTTCAAGGCCAGGCTGGACAGGACTTGGAACAGCCGGGTCTAGTGGAAGATGTCCCTGCCCAGGTGGGATGAGATGAGCTTTAATGTCCCTTCCGACCCAAACCATGCAGTGATTCTGCTGCCACCTCTCCCGGGCACGGTGGGTCCCTCCTGTGCCGAGGCAGGTGTGGCCAGCAGAGGGCACGAAGCGCAGGTGGAACAGCCCTGGCTGGGCTCGGGAGCAGGTCCGGGAGGGCTGCCCCGTGTGCCCGGCTCTGCTCTGTGTCACCTGCTGAACCCTGAGCCAGAGGAGAGGGCACGCTTAGGTCAGAGGTTAGGGAAAAATCTTCCCTGTGAGCATGGTGAGGCCCTGGCATAGCGGGATCAGGGAAGGTGTCCCTGCCCATAGCAGAGGAGGATTTTGCACCCAGCATGAAGACAGGTAGCTGAGCTAGTGCTGCAGTTGTGCTTCCTGCCTGCAGAGTTCAAGGGCCTAGAAAACACACTAAGGTTTCCTGTAGTTTTTCCCATGTGCACGCATCTGCTGCTGCTCTTTCTTTACACAGATAATTCCAGGGACAGCAGCCAGGGCACGGCTGGAGCTGGGCCAGGGCAGCTCAGGCTGGAGATCAGGGCAAGGTTCTTCCCCCAGAAGGTGCTGGCACTGCCCAGGCTCCCCAGGGAATGGGCACAGCCCCGAGGCTGCCAGAGCTGCAGGGATGCCCAGGGTGGGGTTGTTGGGGGGTCTGGGCAGGGACAGGAGTTGGACTGCCTGGTTCTTGGGGGTCCCTGAGCTCAGGATGTTCTGTGATTCACATAAAATGTTTTCTTTGCCACTCTGGGAGCTGAGCTCTCCAATCCCCTGCAGTTGTGGCTGCTTGGTTTGGTTTCCAAGCTGATCTGACAGAGCTCAGGGCTGGCAGGGTGACCTGTGCTGAGCAACCTTGGCAAAGTTTTGCCATGTTCTTGGTCCAGGTCCAGTGCCAGGATTACCTTCAAAACCCCTCCTAACACAGCCGAGCTGCAGAAATTGCCTGTGTAGGATGATGTACATTTAGCAAAGATGTTTTGTGATATCCAGAGCCTTCTGTTGGTTGTATAGTCATAGTCAGTGCCACATACTTCAGAGCATGTGAAATTGCTTTTTTCTTCCCATAAGCCCCCTCTTGTTATTTCTCCACTTTTTTCACAGCAGGTGTTGAGCCAAAACCTGACATCCTTCCCTATAATGTGTTCCAGCCAAGTCACAGCCTCTATTTCTTCAGATTAGCTTGCCTGCAGCTCACACTAGAGGTAGAGGAGGCCACCCAGAAGCTGTGATTCCCTGTTGAGGAAGAAATTCCACAGCCTGAGTGTGCACTTGCTGATTCATGTCTCCCCTGCAGCAGGATCACTGGAGCTGGCAGCACTTGTGCTGCACAAAGTGCTCTGTCTGGATGGTCAATGGGATTGTTCTGAGAAGTGAATATTGCAGTCAGACAGCTGTTTCCAGATGTTTCTTTTTAATAACACAAATGCTTTGCATTCAGAATATTTGGCTAAAGTCCCACCTGACTCCAGCATGGGAGGAGGGTGGTATGGGATCACAGTTGTGTGAGTTCCCATCAGAGCAGGCATGTGCTGCCAGATCCATCAACCCCCACAGTCTAAAAGTCTCCATCTCCTCTTTTCTCCCCTCAGGCTTCCGGCTGAATGCCTCCTCCTGGCCCATGTTCCTTCTGAAGACTCTGAATGGAGCAGAGATGGCTCCTGTCCGGATTTTTCACAAGGTATTTCCCTGTTTGTGCAGATCCTTCTGGCAGTGGCCCCTTGGCTGCAGAGCACCAGACTCAGAGCTGGTGTCTCGTGAGAGATGTGCTGGTCCCGTAGGAGATGACACTGCACAGCTCTGCCTTGGGGCTGCTCTGGGACAGACCTGTGTCCTCTGCAGCTGTGCCATAGCAATGCCAGGATGTAGCCAGAGGTCTGCCAAGGAGGTGCTTTGGGCTTCAGGGCTCAGGCTTGAGGCAGGAGCTGGTTTTTCACTGGAGCTGCAGGTGCTGCTCAAAGTGGGGAATGCAAGGGGGGAACATCAGCACCTCTCTGGAATGTGCCACTCCCTGGGTTCAGTCCAATAGTGGACTTTGCTGCCTCTTGATTAAAGGGCAGTGGCTGTGTAGCCCAGCCAGTGTGTGCACACCTATTGGGGTTCAAATCCAGCCCACTAACTCCCTTCAGCTGCTCGTGGGGGTGAATTTGCTGATAAGGGCGGCCCTGGTGTGGGGAGGCACTGCCATACCCCCTTTGAGCATATATTCCACTTCTTCTTGTAGGAACCACCATCTCCTTCCCAAAACTTCTTCAAGACAGGTATGAAGCTGGAGGCAGTGGACAGGAAGAACCCTCACTTCATCTGCCCGGCCACCATTGGGGAGGTGAGAGGTTCTGAGGTCCTCATAACATTTGATGGCTGGAGAGGTGCCTTCGATTACTGGTGCCGATATGATTCCCGGGACATCTTTCCCGTAGGCTGGTGTTCGCTGACTGGAGATAATCTGCAGCCCCCTGGTACAAAAGGTAAGGCCCACGTTGTTTTTTAGCTGTCTTGCTCCTCCACTCAGCTCTCAAAGAGCAGCAAAGCAGGCAGAGACTGGCAGCAAGGACACCTGGGTGCCCTGTCTGGTTTTTGTGCTGCTTCACGCGTGGTAAAGGTACAGGTGATCAGACCTATAGCACTGGAACAGCCTGGCACCAAGGTGCTGAGGAGTGGCTACCCATAAACATGGGCAAGGTGATGGCTCTGGGGAGGGATGGTGCAACATTGGTACAACATTGCTGAGGTCTGCTCCTCTCCAGGAATTTCCTTGAAGTTTCTCCTGCGCCTTTGAACCAGATTTTCCTATGCAGTTTTTCTCAGGGGGTCTGGAATAATGAGAAGTGTGAAGCTGCAGGACTGCGCCTCTTTGTGCTTTGGGCAGTTTTCTTGGTGTGCCTTGGTGTGAGCATGGACAAAGCAGGTGTGGAGCAGGTCATACCTGCCTTGTTCCTAGGGCTGTGGTTGTTGGGTAGGAGCAGGGCTGGGGAACCTGCTGCCTTGAAAAGGCCTGAGCAATGGCAGGTTTGATTCTCAAGCTTTCTCACATCACAGTTGTATTTAGGCCCAGGGGGGCTGTCACTGTCCCCAAGCACATCCCTCTGGCATTTGCTGGCTGGCAAGCCCTGCACATGGCTTGTCAATGAAATGAGGGCCTGGAGAACAACCTCTCTGCCAGAGCTGAAGGGTTGCTTAGGAAAGGCATTTCTCTGACAAGACTGTTGCTCTTGGAAGTCCTGGCTCAGCTCATGCTGCCCTGTCAGGCTGGTGCTGCCCTGTGTCCCTGGCATGGGCCAGGTCTGTGCTCAGGCCTGCAGGGCTGCTCTCAGTGGATTGCCTGAGTGATCTCACATGATCTGTGTGCAAGCCAAGCTGTGAGCTCCCCTTGGCTGAAGATGATTCCTCTTCATCTTGGATTTCTACATTTTGCCTTGCAGTTCCCATCCTCTCCCTCTGTTCTTGCTGGTTGTTGTGTCCCACCTGCTGCTGCCCTGCAGGCTCTGCAGAGCACTGGGACCTTATTTGCCAGTGGCTGACTCCTCCAGTGGTGCCCTGGAGCTCTCTCCAGGCATCTCCAGGGTGCCTCTCAGGTACTGCACATGTGGCTCAAGACATATTTGTGTTTGATGGGAGTTTTCCTGGCAGTAACCTGGGGGTGGAAGGTTTCAGGGGCACAGTGGAAGCTCCCTTCTCAGGAGAAGTGGGAACCTGTCTGACCCTCAGCCCCAGTACAGGCAGCTCTCTTCCTCCCCAGCCTCCTCTTGCCAGGGGCTGAAGCTGTGAGTGAGCAGAGCCCAGTCAATTATCCAGAAACAAGACCCTCTTGTGGCATCCTGGGGAGCTTGTGCTTCTCCCTTGGCAGGTGGCTGGGCTGGCTTCTCCCTTTCCCATTGGCTCCATGTGCAGTGACTCTGCACTTCCTGCTCGTGTACAAAAATAGTGACCCCCAAAAAGTCACATCCCCCACTCAGGCAGAGGCAGCCCTCACCCTCAGGCAGATTTCTGCTCTCTTTGTCCTTTTTTTCCAACTCCTGGGACAAGAGCAGGGATTGCATGAGCCATGCAAAAATGCCAGGGAGTTGAGATCAGCCTTGTCTCTGTGCTTTTACTTCTCCCTCTGTGACTGTCTGCTCTCTCTCCTGACCAAGAATTCCTGACTTGCACTTTGTGGGATTAAACCAAAAGAACAGAGTACTGGGAACTTTGTCTAATGAAATTCCTCCTGTGTTTCCTCAGCCCTGCTGTGGTGGAGAGTTGAGCACAGTCCTCCCAGACCTGAGAGTGCTCCTCTTGGCAGGGTGGGAGGATGCATCACCACAGAGGAGTTGCCCTTTCCTTGAGCTGCAGTAAACCTTCCCCATGTGCCAGCCTGCAGGACCATGTGCTGGAGTCGGGCAGTTTCCCTTTCCTGCTGGGAATTCCTCTTAAAGAGAACTGCAGAGACATGCAGGCAGTCAAGTGCTGCTGTGGTAAACTGGTCTGTGCTCATTTACTGGACTGACTGTGCGAGGCCCTCGTGGAAGGTGGGGAATCCTGTGAAGAGTTAACTCCATGGAGAATGAGTAACCCAGTGGCTTCCTGAGGCAGAGCAAAAAGAGGCCTCGTGGAGTGAGCTCATGTTCAAGGGAAGCAGAACTTCAAAGAGAGCAGGCATGTTTATTTAATGCTGGTAACTCCAGTCAGCTCTAATCTGTCTCTGCTGCCAGCAGAGGTGGAGGAGTGCAGGGCTTCTCCCAGGCATGGTCCTTCTCCATCCCCAGGGCCTCCCACTCCCAGCAGTGTTTGCTTAGCTGGAGTGGCTGGGCAGGGAGCTGGGGCCCAGCCAGCCACTCCATGGAGCTTTCATTAGGGCATGTGTGTGTGTTAAAGAAGGAAAGGGAGGTCAGACTGCAAGGAGGAGCAGCCTGCATGCCTGCTTGGTAATTCCACTGCTGCCTGCTGGCTGTGCAGCAGCCTGCTGGGAGACCTCTGTGGCCAGTGGCCAGATGGCTGTGGGCTCCTGGGCATGTCCTGGTGCTCCTGTCTGGATGCTGCACACCTAGGAGCTGGGAGATCCAAACCAGGACACCACATGGGGAAATGTGGCTCTGGGAGTACCTGTGCCTGTGGTGGGTCCTGGTCCTCTCTCCACATCGGCCACGGGCCAGGGATGGATGTTGGCTCTGCTGGGCTACAGAGCAAGGTAGAATGTGGGACAGTTCATCCTGTGCACCTGCAGCTTCTCCACCTCAGCCGGGCAGCTGCTGGGCAGGCAGATCCCAGTGGCTGTCCCAAAGGAGGGGGAGTTCTGTGTGTGTGCAGCAAACTTCCCTCAGCATCCCACCCACACCAGTGGGGTGCTCCCAGGGATGTCCATTGGCCAGCAATCCCTGCTCCACTCCTCATACGTGGTGTACAGCACCTTACATGTCTTTTCATGCCTCTTATACATGTACTTTTCTACCCTTAAATACATGTCTGGGCTTTATATCAGGTGAAGTGGACTTTCTGTTCACTGAGTGCTGGCTGGGAGCCTGGAGCTCTGCTCAGCAGGTGTAGAGTCAGGGAACATCCTGAGCTGGAAGAGATCCACGAGGATCATCAAGCCCAGCTCCTGGCCCAGCACAGGACAGCCACAGTCAAAGAGCCTGTGAAAGGACCTTGCCCACACACACACATACAGACACCGGTGTCCCTGAAGTCTGCTCCCATGTTTCATGTGTTACTGCTGGAGGGCAGGGAAATACTGTCACCTTGAACACAGGGAAGCAGGGACACACCTGCCTGGGGACACAGGTAAAGCCCTCATTGTCTGTGTCTCAGAAGGTGCCTGTACTGTTCCTCCATCCTGGCTGATTCCAAGTTGCTCTGGGGTTCCTGATGGGTTTGCTACCCCCTGTTCCACCTTTCTGGATGCTCTGGGACAGAGAGGGGTGACTGTGTGCTGTGGGAGAGGGGCAGTGGTGAAAGCGTTAACGTTGGGCGGGCAGAGCTGGAAGCTGCTCCAGCTCTGGAATTTGGAGGACTGGAATTGCTGCCTTGGCAGCAGCCCAGCTGGCAGGAAGCCCCAAGCCCAGCCAGGCAGGGCAGAGCTAACACAGAGCTCGTCCTCTGCCACCGTGCCAGGGCTGGTGGGAGCTGGGTGAGGGCACTGGGGGCACTGGTCAGTGCCTGCACAGGTCTGTGTGGGCTCTCAGACCCTGCTCCCTCTGCCTGGGCTCGGCTGCTGCTTCCTCTGCTTGCAGATCAGGCAAATGTGAGTAGTTTTAGGTAGTTACCATGGGGATAGGCTGAAGGGGAGCTCCATCCACCCTGGGCTCACAGCTCTGCATTACCCTGGGTCAGAGCTGCCTGCTGTGGCTGCTGCAGTGACTCCAGGGGTTACAAGGTGCTGACCCTGGACAGAAAGTTCATGAAGCTATTCATTTCTCACCACCACTGCTGCCATGTGATTTGTTGTTTAACTGCTTTGTCTCCTCAAAAGAAGATGATCAGCTGCTAGGTTTCCTGCCCAGGGGCAAAGGTAATGTGTATTTTATTATTCTATTTTGGACATTGCCTGGTTTCTCTTCCTTCTTCAGGGTGAGAACATAGTGGTGGGAAGAGGAGCCTCATCAGGAGTAGTTGGCAGGGTAACAGCTCAGGTGAGCTCCTGTGCATTCCTGCTTGGAGGAGATGGGAAAATATTAATTACTGTCTCTTCAGCACTGAGCTGGGATTTGGAGCTCACACGTTAAGCTGGGTGGCATTGCTTTGCACTGGCATGGCTGGTTTGGGGACCACACAGGTAGAGCTGCTGCACCAACAGCAGGAGGAAGGAGGGTACACAGAGGAGTTCAGGTGTTTATCCATGAGTGTAACACACAAGCAGCCCTGGGACCTGGGTGGTGCTGCCTCTGAGGCTGCTGTTGGAAGATCCCAAGGAAAATCTCTTGGGCTATTTGGAGCACAGAGCCAAGGCTCTTGGCAGTGACCCTGGCTCAGCTTGGATGTGTGTCATGGAATGCACGTGGGGTTTGGAGGTTTGGGGGCTTGGTAAGGGAGCCCAGCACTGCAAGAGGCTCTGGGCTGCTGGCAGTGCCTGTGGCTCAGCAAATGTAACAGATCTGGGGCTCAGTGGGAACCATGGCATGTCAGAGACCTGAGGTTACTGAGTGATGTCTTGAGGCTGGCAGGAGCCTCTGAGAAGAGGAACTGACCTGGGAGAAGCAGTTTCCTCTGGTCTCCAGCCTGTCCTTACTCTCACTGTCTAGACTTTCCTCTCAACTTGACTTTTCCTTATGTTTTATTTTGGAATATTTCATATTCCAGAGAATCTGGGTTTTGTTTAGGGTGTTTCCTTCCTTTTTCCACTATGCTTCCTGGCCCAAACCAGAGTTTCAGTATCTCAGGGTGTTACTGAGTCTTGGCAGGAGGTTTCCTGGTGTTGGAACCTGTCTCTCTTTGGTTGAACAGCACTGGTTCATTATTGTATTTGTGGGGTACCCTGACAAAGGAAGGAATG